TTCCATTTAAAAAAATTAATGTGACCTTGACCTGACCTTCGCTACGCAACCCAAGGTCAAACTGATGTGATCAGTAAATACATCTTTTTAAACGCCACAACTTTTGTCTGAAACATTTTTTTGTAAAACTTATATTTTTCCTGATATTCGGGCGTCCCGGTACTTTCCGAACACCCTGTATATATGTACGATATATGTATATATGTATATATGTATATATGTATATATGTATATATGTACCCTGTATATATGTATATATGTACTCGTATATACATAATAAGATGAAATAGATATTTAATAAAATGAATTGATATTTCCTTTCGATAAACATTTATCGCAAGGCATCGAAAACATTAAATTTACAATAAAATGACGATAATACAATAATAAAACAATAAAAATCACTTAATAATAATGTCGTAAAAAACAATATGCTCGATAGATTGATTTTTCTTAATATATCTTGCTGTCAAGAATTAATAATTTCTTAAACTAAATACAAGTGCATTAGAAATAAACATAATTAAATAAACATAATTCAACTTAGTGCTAATAAGAATTGAGCGCTAGTGTTGGTAACAACAACATAAATAGATGTGAAAATATTATAGTTAAAAATAATTATATATATTCTCATAACGTATATTATTTAATGTTTCTCAGTAGCAAATCAAATATGAAAATTTTTAAGTTTCATGTTTGTTAAGAAACATTTAGGTTTGTTAGGAAACATTTAGGTTTAGTTCCTCAAAGGCTTAATTTTCTAATCTTGTAGATGTAAGAAATTTACAAAATCTCTGCAAACTGATAACGTTAAAAAATTATAGTGACCATAGTTTATTTTTCATAGCGTTTATTTTGCGTTTATTATTTCTTACGTAGATTGCTATGTTGAGATATACACCTGATTACGATATGTGAAATAAATGACTCATAACATATATTTAGCACGATATCTATTCGATCTTCATGATATTGAGAGACATTTTCATATTAAACATATGAAAAATTCAATCGGTGATTTCGTGTACAATTGTGGACAAAAAATTGTGCGCAAAGGAGATTGTGCAAAATTGTAGGTTTGGAAACCGTTATTCAAACAAGAAAATGTTACATATTCATATATATTTTGCGTCGTAGAATTTCAAAATGACCATGAAAATTAGGGTACTAGCGGGGAAAACGTGGAAAATTAAGAAAACTAGAATTGTAAAAACTCCGTACGTAATTTTTTTATGTTTACTTTTGTTCCATGCGGACGCTGTTATCTGCACGGACAGAGCACGGCGGGCGGTCGTGCGCCAGGTGCGATCCGCTCGTGCGCGAATACCGCTCGCCGCTACTTCGTGCCGTCGCCGCTACGCGGCAGCGATCTGAGCCGGGCCGTCGTTCGCGGTTAATTCTTGGTTCGGAGTCTATATAGGACAACGCGGCCGACAGCTCTAGGCCTTTTGAATGCGCTTGCACGTTAGGTCACTGCCTTTAGAGTGTCTACAACACGTTGGCTCGCCTCGTACGAGGTATTACCGACGATTGAGAGGAGGGTTCGCGAGATCATTCCGGATTACTCTGGGGCCTCCACCGCGGGTGGATGTTTCCCATTGCAGTATCTTACGCACTGCAGACATCGTGGATCGTTCGACAAGTCTCGTTACTGTCTCGCTTGCGACTCTGCACACGAGTCACACACTCTAAGTTCTCACAGAGGACTTATGGCACCTGCACACACGACGCAGTAATGCTTGCCGTGCGGCGGAAGTTCGCGCGACAGTCAAACAATATGATGCTTTCCATAATAACCTTCTAGCTCTTACGGAAAAACAACATATTGATTGACTGTCGCGCGATCTTCCGCCGCGCGGCAAGCATTACTGCGTCCTGTGTGCAGGAGCCATTAGTCTTTGCCGCACTTGCGGCATTATTCATGCGAGCTACGCTCGCTTCTAAGTCTACACGAGACTTTCGTCGTTTACGCGACTCCCCCCACGCGACCTACGCTCGCTTCTAAGTCCGTACAGAACTTTGTTAGTCTCCGTCGCACCTGCGACTTACATCAGGCGACTCGCTCGCCTC